CAGTCTGCAGTTCCTTGGCTTTTCCTTACCACCTTCGCTGTGTGGCAGAGTGCTTGTGAGCATATAAGGCCAAGATAGATTCTTGATCAGTAGGGGAATCAAGGGTTATGTGGAAAGAGCAGGACAACGACATGAGAAGTGTTGGATCAGCCATGATCCTGTTGAACAACGGAATGGCTCAAGGGGCCAAACAGCCTACTCCTGTTCCTATTTCTTATGATCTGAAGAAATTTTCCACATCCGCATCTTAAATGCATGACCCCTCGAGATTATGCCCTCTGTTTTACCAGTGAGAAAATCTCGGACCAATTTTTCCCATCCACTGTCAAGCTTTCTATAATTCCTGCATTTTTCAATTAAGATCAGCTTATTCGTCTACTTCTGGAAAGTTAAATCCCCTCCCCTATATTCCATGTACAGATGCAGTCTATTCAACCACTTATAAGACAGTTCCTCGATACCTGATATCAGCCTGGTGAGCTTCTCTAACTAATATAATTATGCCTTTCTTGGCTAAGGGGCTCAAAATGGGACACAGTTTGTCAGCTGTGGTCTGACTAGTGCCTTGATTTATTTTAGCGAAACCTTCCTACTTTTATACTCCATCCCCCTGAAATAAAAACCAATATTCCATTTGCCCACCAATTACCTGAATTTGAATGCCATTTTTAAGATTCATGGATGAGGATTCCCAAATCTATGTGTTTCATTGCTTTCTGCAGTCCTTCATTTAAATAATATTCAGTTCCTCCATTCGTTCTACCCAAGTGGATGACCTCACATTTTTCCATATTATATTCCATCTGCTAAGTTTTCACCCATTTACTTAACTTGCTTACAGCCCTCAACAGAAGCTCATCCTCACCACTTGCCTTCTGATCTATTTTTGGCTATTATATATCCACTTTGCTCATCCAAGTCATTAATATGTGGCCCCAGCATTGGTCCCTACAGCACACCGAGTTATAGGTTGCCATCCTGAAAATACCCACTTTATCCCAACTATTAGTTAGCCAATCTTCTATCCTTGCTAATATATACCTCCAACACAGGTTATCTTAAGAAGCTTAAGATGCGGTGACTTATCAGCACCTTCTGAAAATCCAAACACATTACATCTGATGCTTCCACTTTATCTATCCTGCCTCAAAGAATTCTTACAAATTTGATAGGTATAATTTCCTCTTCATTAGGCCATGCTGACTATGCCTGATCATAACGTGCATTTCGGAATGCTCTGCTTTACACCCTTTATAAGGACTAAGATTTCCCAATGACAGATATTAAGCTAAGTGGCCTATAGGTACCTATTTTTGTCTCTTTCCCTTTTTAAAAATGTTACACTGAAAAACCGTCAATGCTCTGGAACATTTCCAGAATCTAAGGATTGCTGGAAGATTGTTACCTTCAGCTATTCCCTTTAATATCTAGGATGCATCTCATCAGGTCCAGGGGATCAATCAGTCTTCAGCCCCTTTAGTTTCCTCAACTGACTATCCCAAACTACATAACAATAGAACATCTCCAGCCACTAGATGCTGTTCCTTAGTTTTGCTAAAGATTCTTGTTCTCAGCCAAATGTTGTTTTGACTAGAGCAGTTACTCATCTCTAAACAGCATTCACACCTGGATCAAAGTTGCACCAAGCTCCAAAGCTAAATAGTTTTGATAGAATCCAAACTGAGAACAGATTATTGCTGACTATGCTACTGAAGTGACTGTCTAAACTGAAGCATTGCATCAGTCCACATCCACACCTGGATTTCACTTCTTCCCACTGTATTAGAATTTTTTATTCTTCCAGCTTTTGCAATGCATCTCTTCTTCTGCTGACACCTTCTGTTCCGATTAAGTCTTCCTCTTTCCTCCACTGCGGCAGTCAGGACTGTCAACCAAGGCGATCTCCTTCTCTACATCTATTCTCTCCCCTACCCCTCTCTCCAAAAGACACGGTCATGGTCCCTTTCTTCACCTTTTGAGCGATCAGCATCCATATCCATCGGATCTTCGTTCACATTTCAACTACACCCAGCCTGATACCACATACATTTCTCCCTATTCAGAGAATTCTAAAAGGGCCATTTCCAAGATATTGGTTCATTCTTCAATCACTGTTAAAATTACTCCTGTTCTTGCAAAGAATGCATCACCTACCTTCTTTACTCTCTCTTTTCCAAAGAAGGAGTCTCTCATGCTCCTTTGCAAGTGAGCAATTTCATCTCTTTCAATTTAATATATTGGAATTTTGTGATGTGTTCTACTATACAGTAGATTGGTAGTCTTCAATTACATACTTGTAAAACTCCCAATGTCCTCATTTTAAACCTCAAGCCAGCTCTGGTCTGTGTCTCCCTCCAATTTCTAATGAAACTGAACACAAGCTCAAAGAAGAGCAGCTTAGTTTTACAGATACCTCACTGCCTCCTGTTAAAGCAGAGTTCAGCAATTTCAGATAATTGGTCCTGTACTTTTTCAGCTCAAAAGGACCTGAAACACTGCTTTCTTTCTCCAAAGTTACTGTCAAACCTGAGCATTTCCAACATTGCCTTCATTCCCATCTTTTATTTTTCTGTCACACCCCTTTCACCTCATTCCTGCCTTCTGCCCTATTTCGACCCTCCACTTTGCTCTCCCATACCCCCATCCTTACCACCTCTATCTGCTCTGTTGCAACACGTTTTTCCTATATCATCAGGAATATATGAAATAAGATTAGATCTAATGGTGTATTAGGGTGATCCCATCAATCAGATCTTAGAGTCAGAGTGTCTTGGCTAATCTTTGACCCCAATTCCACTTTCCCCATCTGATTCCCAAACCCTTTGATCTTTCTCAAGTTCAAGAACCCCTTCAGTTGAAAATAAAGTTAATGACTGAGCTTCCACAGTCCTCTGGGCAGAATCAGAACCTTGAATGAAGATAGTCAAAATCAGTCATAAACCATTCTGCTGTTACCCTGAGGTTGTGCCCCCTGATTCTGGGCACTCCAGCCAGGGGTACAATCCATGAACACTTACATTGTTGAGCCCACTTTCAAGTTTCAATGAAACCATCATTCTAATAAATTCCACAGACGTTACTTGATCCACAGTATTTCCTGCATTTTCGTGTGTTTTATTCTAGTTTGAGTTAATTCACAATGTCATAAGTTGCTATTTAAGTCTGCTCGTTAGCATTCAACAACACTAACCAATGCAGTGTCACTTGGGAGGGTGAGTGTTTTACTCTCACCCCCTGTACTTGGAACTGCTTCCTATCACAAACTAGATGTACCCAGTGTACATATTCTTTGGATTGATGCCTGGTGCTGCTGCTGGTATACCTTTCTACACTGAACCAGCAGTCTCTCAGCTTGCTTAGTGACCAAGAGATATGCTAGGACACATGGCTACAGATGGTGGCTGTAAAACAAATCTCCTGCTTTTGATGGTTCAGTGTGTCAGGAATGGATAGTTTTCAGTTACTAAACACTCCACTTAACACAGTAGTGTCACATATGGTGGAGGATGCCCATAATTTGAACAAGATGAATGAGCAAATTCAACACACTGAAGTCATAAAAAAATTGGTCAACTGTTTAAAAATAACCAATTCTACTCAGAACTCTTGGTACAATACAATCCGAAATAATATACCCCCTTATTTCTGCACTCTCTATTCAGCATAGGTTTACTTTGTTCTGACCATTTTTAAAGAACAGAAAATTGAACATGCAAATTCAGATTTACTTATATGCATAGGGTTGTAAAATTAACCAGCCCTGCTCAGTGGCTGAATGTGAACAATTATAGAACACTGCATTTACATAGCCTCTTCAAAGCAGTCAATGATTGATTCATCAGAGCTTTTAATCAGCCAAACTGATACCAAGCTAAGGAAGAAGTAACACGCTAAGTGACCAAAGGTTTGTTTGAAGAGATTTTAAGGAGTCACAAGGATCAAGTTTAGCACCTAGATAACGCTAATGAAATTGGGGTGAAGGAACTTGGATGTACAGGATGAGAAATAAAAACCTAATGCCTACTTCATTACCCACCTACCCACTTTCAGCTCAAATAGACCAGAAGCTTTCTGAATGATTCCCTTTAGACCAATTTCCAATGCCAAATGCGACAGTACCTCCCAGTTCCTTTTCAATCCCTAAAGAAAGTGGCCTTTATGTAATTCTAGTTTAGAGACAAAATGGGAGCATAGTGGTAATGTCACTTGTGTAGAAATCCAGAGGCCCCAGCCAGTGCTCTGCGGACATGGTTCAAATCCCACCACAAAACTAGTGAAATTTGAATTCAATTGACAAATGTGAAACCGAGAATTCAGAATGCTGACCAGAGAAATCCAGCAATATTTATAAAATCCCATCTGGTTCACAAATGTCCTCTACGGAAGAAAATCTGACATCCTTATTCAGTCACGTTTACATTCGACTCCCGAGCCACAGCAATGAGGCTAATTCCCTAAGAGCCTTCTGAAACAGTGCTGAGCGATCCACTCAGTTCAACAGCAATTAGGGATAGGCAGCAAACGCTGGCCTCGCTAGGTTCACACACAGCCCAGAAACATTCCTTTGCAGACCCCTCCCAATGTAGAAATCGCTATACTCTTACCCCCACCCCAGTCCAAGTGTCTTTTCCCATGCCACTTCCAGCCCTTCACCTCTAAAGAGGAATCTCCTCTAATTTGGTCCTTCATCCCAATCCACCACTGGACCGGGGAGGGGGATGGGGGCTTCCCCAAGCCTCTACTGGCCGCCCCCGAGGCCCTTTTTAACTTTGCCCCCAATTTGCGCCCCCCCCAAAACCCCATCCATCCAGTTCGTTACCAGCCCCACGCCGGCCGACCGACCAGGGACCCATCTAATTCTCCCCAGTCCATGAGTTGCTGATGATTTCTGCCTTACCCTACCTCCCGAAACCCTCGGCCTCCCCGTGTTACTCCTCCCCGTGCCCTTGCTCTGAGTCAGCGCGGCCTTCAAGGCCGCCAGCCCCCTCAATGCCCCTCACCCTCTCCTGCTGCGGATCCTGACACTCGCTCTTCGCCGCCCTCTCCTTCTCCTTCCGGCCTTTCTTGGAGGCGGCGGGGACTGTCACTGGCGCCGTTTCGGCGGGAGCAGTCACCGGTGTGAGGGAAGCGGCGGGCGCGGTCGTGTCCGGAGCGGGGGCCGGGGAGTCAGGCGACACCGCGGCCTTGGCCGGCCCGCTGGGCGCTGGCGCTGCCGCCGCCCCTCCTTTGGTCACTTTGGTTTTGTCTTTTTTCTTTTTCTTGTCCCTCTTGGCGAAGAAATCGTCGAGGCTCTTGTCATCCCGCTCGGCCATGCTGAGCGGCTGGTGGCGGTGGAGAAGCAGCAGGCACCGCCGCGATGTCTATGGCGATCGACACACGGGCCCTACCGCCTCACACATGCCGGACACAGCGCAACCAAACTCGGCCTACCGGAACCGGAAACACGGACGGACAGCGGTGCGTGGGTGCGAGGGCGGGGTCCTATGACTGGCGGTCCTGCGACCAATCAGAATGGAAGATTTGTACATTGGCCCAAACCCCATTCGCCCGCTTCACCGGAAGGGGCGGCATCCCCTTCAACAACCAAGTTTGGTTGCGGCGGAGGAGCGTGAGGGACAAACGCGCACCAACAGGGCGTCGAGGATACTCCCATCCCCGCCTCTGGTTACCGAGCAGTTCGGGATGTTTCTCCCTTCATCATCACTGAGCAGAACAGGACCTCCATTACTGTCCCTTCCCTCACAACAGAGGGTCTTCTCTGAAAACCTGCCCCCACCTTGGTCATTGCCCCCATCACTGACCCTTCTCACCACCTCCCCTCCCCCATCCCAGGTCACTATCTCCGTTACTGGTCGCTGAGAAGATCCAGTCACTGTCCTTAACACCCCTCCCCATTTGAGAAGATTTCCTTCCTCCCCCACTACCTTGATCACTGTCCCAATCACTGAGGGGACCAACTACACCTCCCATCATTGTCCCCTTCAACTTCTTCCCCCTCCATCCCAGGTCACTATCTCCGTTACTGGTCGCTGAGAAGATCCAGTCACTGTCCTTGACACCCCTCCCCATTTGAGAAGATTTCTTCCCCCCCGCCCCCCAACCTTGATCACTGTCCCAATCACTGAGGAGACCAACTACACCTCCCATCATTGTCCCTTTCAACTTCCCCCCCCCCACCCCGCATTGTAACTGAGGAGACCCCCTTCACTGACCTCTTCACCTCCGTCACTGAGGAGACCCCCCCCTTTCATTGATCCTTTCCCCCCGTCACTGAGGAAACCCCCTCCCACTCTCTCTGGGTCACTGTCTCCTTTACTGATTGTTGGAGACCCAGAACCCCCTCCCCCATCACTTCCCATTGTCCCTGCGTGTACCACCTCCACTCCAATCACTGTCCATGTGCTTCATCTCTGAGGAGATTGGGACCCCCAAACCCCTGCTCTCTAACCTCCATCATGGAGGAGACTTCCCACCTCAAACTCTCAATCACTTACCCACAACACTGAGGAGACTGTGCCTGACATTGTCACTCTCCCCTCCCATGGTCATTCTTTCTTTCCCCTTCCCTTTTGTCACTGTATCCCCCTGCACCGCTGTCTCTGTCTATCCCCTATCAGCGCAATCACTCTATTCCCCCCCATCATCAGTGTCTTTCTATCCCCCTACCCCATCACTACTGTCACTCTATATTCCCTGTCAGCACAGCTACTATCCCCCCCATTGACTGTTGTCACTCTATTCCCCTATCCCCATTGTCATTCTGTCTTTCCCTATCACTCTCACCCCATCACACACTGCTATCACTCCTCCTCCACCATTCCACCTCGTCTCTTTACATCTGCCATCTCCTCACCTGCCAGTCCCCCTCTCCCAGTCATGCATCACTCTCTCCTCCTTTCCCAGTGCTGCAGTCCAGAATGGGGTCAACGGGTGCTTGTTTTAGATGGAGCGTAGTGGCTAATACCAGAAATTGTCAATCCTCTGCTGCTCTTAAAGCACTATTCTCAAATCAATTTAGACTGCCTAACCAAGGAGCTGAATCAAACACAGAGAATGCTGGAGAAACTCAGCAGGCCAGGCATCATCTGTGGAAAGAAAAACAGTTAATATTTCAAGTTCAGTATGACACTTTTTCAGAATTCTTCGTAACTTTTACCAAAGAATCTGTCCTGGGCAATAATGTGGTTAGGTTTGGTTGGGAGGAGAAGGAAGTTGAAGTTGCTAGTTGGAGTGAATGGGAGATGGGGAAGTTGGGAGGAATGAAGATTGGCGGGATGATGGTGAACAGTCAGGCGAGAAGGCAATGTTGCGATTATGATTTTGGGGAACACCTGGGAGGAAAGGGAAGTTAGAAGGAGATGTTTTAGCCAAGGAGGAAAGGCAGGGGAGAGACGAAGGGAGGAAAGGGGGTTGAGAAGGGGGGGAGAGGCGGAAGGGGGAAAGGGGGGGAGAGGGAGAGTTAGTCGGAAAGCTGGGAGCGGGACCAGTGGGGTGAGAGATTGAACTGGAGGCAGGGGTAAGTTGAGAGGAGACTTTGGGGGAAGAGGGAGAAGTTGAAAGTGGGGCAGTAAAAGGATGTGAAGGGGATAGAGGGGAAACTGGAGGGGGTGCAGTGGGGAAGGAGGACCTTTGACAGTTTGATATCCTTCTGAGGCTTTTTGCATGACCAAATAAACACGGAACATGAGCACTCTTTGACCATCTGTTCATTGTTAGACACGTCATGTATTATTAGCTTTGAATATCTAATTTAACAGTGTACACGTGCACATTATACAAGGGCTACTTGTATTCGTGATGCCTTCCTCTTGAGGTTGGTGGTTGTTGGCTCTATTTTTGTCTTGGTCGCATTTGGTTCAAACCTGCTGTCTGTTTATTGGCTTGGACAAAAAAAAACAACTGGAGTCTGCAAGAAGGTTTGATGCTGTGAAAACTTTGCTTCCCTATACCAGACTTCATTGGGGACTGCAGTCAAAAGTGTGGATAGAAGCGGATGAAGAACACAACCCCTCACCTCTCCAAGAAGACAAGAGTCGTTTTCACACTTTCTGACCACAAAATAAGTAACAGGATTTGCCTTTCGGCCCCTCAAACCTGCCCTGTTTAAATATGGATCTCTTTTATACCCTGAAATTTTACACATCTTGTTCTGAAAGTCACTATCCTGAAAGAATAAACTCTCCACAGGTGCACATAAGTGTTGCTGGTGTTTTCTGTTTTATTTCATGTTTATAGCATCTGCAATATTTTATGTTTGTTTTCCAACTCTTCCAACCTGCATAGTCCAACATAACTCCAATTTCTCACATAAAGTAAAACCTGGTGGTATTATCGCTAGACTATTAATACAGAAACCCAGCTGATGTTCTGGGAACCTGGGTTCGAATCCCACCATGGCAGATGGTGGAATTGGAATTCAAAAAAAAAAGTCTGGAATTAAAAATCTACTGATCACTATGAAATCATTGCCGATTGTCGGAAGAACCCATCTGGTTCACTAATGTCCTTCAAGGGAGGAAATCTGCCACCCTTACCTGGTCTGGCCTACATGTGACTCCAGACCCACAGCAATGTGGTTGACTCTCAACTGCCCTCTGAAATGGACTAGCAAGCCACTCAGTTGTACCAATCGCTACAAATACTCAAAGAAATGAAACTGGACGGATCACCTGGCATCGACCTAGGCACCGGAAAAGACAATGGCAGAAACAGCCTTGTTGACCATGCAAAGTCCTCCTCACTAACATCTGGGGTTTAGTGCCAAAACTGGGAGAGCTGTCTCACAGACTAGTCAAGCAACAGCCTGACATAGTCATACTCACAGAATCATACCTTAAAGACAATGTCCTAGACACCACCATCACCATCCCTGGATATGTCCTGTCTCACTGGCAGGACAGACCCAGCAAAGGGGATGGCACAGTGGTATACAGTCAGGAGGGAGTTGCTCTGGGAGTCCTCAACATTGACTCCGGACCTCATGAAGTTTCATGGCTTCAGATTAAACATGGACAAGGAAACCTCCTGCTGATTACCACATTCCGTCCAACCTCAGTTGATGAATCAGTATTCCTCAATGTTGAACAACACCTACAGGAAGCACTGAGGATGGCAAGGGAACAAAATGTACTCTGGGTGGGGGATTTCAATGTCCACCACCAAGACTGGCTCGGCAGGTGTACGACTGATCGAGCTGGTCATGTTCTAAACGACTTGGCTGCTAGACTGGGTCTGCGGCAGATGGTGAGGGAACCAACAAGAGGGAAAAACATACTTGACCTCGTCTTCACTAATCTGCCAGCTGCAGTTGCATCTGTCCATGACAGTATCAGTAAGAGTGACCATTGCACAGTCCTTGTGGAAATGAAGGCCTGCCTTCACATTGAGAACAACCTCTATCGTGTTGTGTGGTACTATCACTGTGCTAAATGGGACAAATTTCGCACAGATCTATCAACTCAAGACTGGACATCCATGAGATGCTGTGGACCATCAACAGCAACAGAATTGTACTCCAACACAATCTGTAACCTCACGGCCCGGCATATCCCCCACTCAACCAGGGGATCAACCCTGGTTCAATGGAGAGTGCAGAGGGCATGCCAGGAGCAGCACCAGGCATACCTGAAGATGAGGTATCAACCCGGTGAAGCCACCAAACAAGACTACTTGCACGCCAAACAGTGAAAGCAGCAAGTGATAGACAGAGCTAAGCGATCCCACAACGAACGGATCAGATCTAAGCTCTGCAGTCCTGCCACATCCAGTCATGAATGGTGGTGGACAATTAAACAACTCACTGGAGGAGGAGACTCAACAAACATCCCCATCCTCAATGATGGAAGAGCCCGGCACATCAATGCAAAACGATAAGGCTGAAGCATTTGCAGCAATCTTCAGCCAGAAGTGCCGAGTGGATGATCCATCTCGGCCTCCTCCAGTGGTCCCCAGCATTACAGATACCAGTCTTCAGCCAATTAAATTCACTGTACGTGATATCAAGAAACAGTTGGAGACACTGGATACTGCAAAGGCTACCGGCCCTGACAACATTCCGGCAATAGTACTGAAGACTTGTGCTCCAGAACTTGCCGCTCCCTTCGCCAAGCTGTTCCAGTACAGTTACAACACTGGTATCTACCCGACAATGTGGAAAATTGCCCAAGTGTGTCCTGTACATAAAAAAAAGCAGGACAAATCCAACCCGGCCAATTACCACCCTATCAGTCTCCTCTTGATCATCAGTAAATTGATGGAAGGTGCCATCAACAGTGCTATCCAAGCAGCACCTGCTCAGCAATAATCTGTTCAGTGACGTCCAGTTTGGGTTCTGTCAGGGCCACTCAGTTCCTGATCTCATTACAGCCTTGGTTCAAACATGGACAAAAGAGCTGAATTCCAGAGGTGAGATGAGAGTGACAGCCCTTGATATCAAGGCTGTATTCGACCGAGTGTGGCATCAAGGAGCGCTAGCAAA